GCAAAAATTTGCTCTAAAAATGTAGGCTCTCTGTTAATCTCCTTGATTATTTCTTTAGCTGAAAAGTTTTTTTTATTTGAATCCACCCCATTTATCATTTGACCCACTCCTTGGTCTATACTAAAAGGACTTAAAAACAGCATACTATAGTGACACAACCACATCAATGTTTATAGCAGCACAATTCACAATTGCTAAACTGTGGAACCAACATAGATGCGCTTCAATAGATGAATGGATAAAGAAACTGTGATGTATATGCACAATGGAATATTACTCAGCATTAAAAGAGAATAAAATATGGCATGTGCAGATAAATTGATAAAGACAGAGAATATCATCCTAAGCAAAGTATGCCAATCCCAAAAACCAAAGGCAGGATATTCTCTCTGATAAGTGGATGCTGATCCATAATAGGACAGGGGCAGGGGGCAGGGGGTACCGGGAAAATGGAGAAACTTTGATTGGGTCAAGGGGAGAGACATAAGGGTAAGGGGCATGGGAGTAGGAAAGATAGTGGAATGAGATGAACATCATTACCCTAGGCACATGTATGACTGCACATGTGATGAGACTCTACATCGTGTACAACCAGAGAAATGAAAAGTTGTGCTCTATTTGTGCTCAATGAATCAAAAAGCTTTCTACTTCAATGTATGACTGATTAGAACAAATAAAATTTTTTTTGAGAGAGAGAGAGAGAAGAAGAGAGAGATAATTTTTTTAATATTTATTTTTTAGTTTTCGGCGGATACAACATCTTTGTTTGTATGTGGTGCTGAGGATTGAACCCGGGCCACACGCATGCCAGGCAAGCATGCTACTGCTTGAGCCACATCCCCAGCCCCCAAATAAAAAATTTAAAAAGAATTGTTTTGTGCTTTTGCTCCACAGCAGAAGCTGAATGGTGAATATTTATTAGTATTACCATATTATGTTTAATAAAGGACACTTAACATGCTAAAAAAATAAACTAAAAATAAAAAGCTCAATTGCTAAGGTCAAGGGTTAAATTATGATGTGTTTCATTGATATCCTCAACCTTTTTGGCCTCTGTGCCTTACACCACCAAATATTTGCTCACAAATATTTGTAGGTATTTGGCTGCAACATGGTGAATAAGTACCAGTTTGGCTGGTTTGAGCACAAATGAATGAAATATCCACTTTATCTTTTAAAATCCTTTAAAAAATATTTGCCAGACAGGGAATGATATTTGTCAAATTACATTGTTACATTATTTCCATGTATGCATATGTAGCAAAGAATCCCACTATATGTGCAATTACAATGCACCAATAAAAACTGGAAAACATATTAGCCAGGAGAATCTGTCAATATATAAAAAGAATGATATATCACAACAAAATGGGGTTTATTTTGAGAATGCAATGTTCTTTCAACATCAAGAAACAATACACAGGACTGGCCTAAACCTGGGCTGAACAAGTACAAGAGAGCACTAACCCCTGCTTCCACACAAAGCCTGGCACTGACTAGCAATCAACAGTAGTCTACCATGGGGGTTGACCATGCTCATGCAGACTGACATTAATTGTAGTAAAAACATGTAGTACAAACAAGGCTGAAGGCTGAATGAGTACCAGAAACAGTAAGAAAAATCCACTGACATCTCAGACCTCATCCTAAACACAAGACAACGGCAGCAAATAATTACACAATTGAAGTCCACAATGCAGTGAGCTACCAACACGAATACCACCCCCCAAACTCATTCAGCTCCTGTCTAGATTGGCTCCAGCACACTGAGAGAAAGGCATGACCGTTTCCATACCAGGACCTTCCAGTGGTGCCCCTGGGAACACATATGAAACCTCATAACTGCTGTGATTGTTATCCCTAAAATCAACCTGTAAGATCAGTAGGACAGCAAGTACTTTGAGATGACTAACTAGGATTTCTTCTCCAACATAATTCACTATTAGTCTCTCCCCATTAAATGAAAGATACAGGTGTGATCGTGGCGATGGCTTGGCGGGGTGTCTGCGGGCTTTGCGTGTGGGATTGGGGCGGCGGTGAGCTTTGCGCGGTGGTGAGCTTTGCGCAGGCATCGGCGTCCGGGAGGTGGGATGGAGCGCTGCGGAAAGCGTGGGACAGCGGTGCTCGCTCTGGCGCCTGATCGGTTCCGGACTGCAGAGCCTGCCATCTGCCAGTTGCGGTCTCAGGTCTCGTCCGCCACACAGTGGGCCCCAACGGGGGCAGCTACGGGCGAGCGGGGCGAAGTCCTGCAGGATCAAACCACGCGACAGGCGCCCACGAGCGGAGTCGTCAGGGGCTCCCACGAGCAGGACGTCACGGGCGCCCACAAGCGGGCGCTGTTGGAACGTTGCGGAGCTCAGATTTCAGTTTTTCTGACTGGTAACGGATGACTGTTAGAGGATGATTGCTTACAAAAAGAAAAAGGCAGAGAAAAACGTGTTTGGGCATCAGGCCACCTTCTGAAATGGGATTCAAGTCCATAAGCTCCAACTCTACTTTTGATCCGGACTACATCAAGGAGTTGGTGAAGGATACCAGGAAGTTCCCCCATGTGTTACTATATTTAAAAGAGGCTATTCTTTCAGACTGTCTTAAAGAAGACATTCATAGACTTCTGGATGATCTCCTCCATGTTTTAAAGTCTGAAATGATAAGCATCAGAATCTCAATTCTGTTGATCTTCAAAATGCTGCAGAAATACTGCAAAAGTGAAAGCTGTGAATTTCTCAGAAGTTAATGAAGAAAACAAAAATGACCTATTCCTAGAAGTGTTTTCTTCTATTGAAACTTTGGCATTTAACTTTGGGAATATCTTTATGGACTTCCTTATGGGAGATGTAGGCAAGGACTCATTGTTACAACTGCCTATTTCTCGGGAAAGTAAGTCTTTTGAAAACTTTTCTGTGGACAGAAAAGGAAATTTTTCTCCTATAGAATTAGACCATGTGCTGTTAAAAAAAAAAAAACTAACTTTATTGAATTCGCCTTGTTATATGCTAACATATAGTCAAAATGTACAAAAGAACATAGTGTCATGGGTTGAAAAAAAGCTTAACTTGGAATTGGCATCCACCAGAAATATTGTAAAGTTGATAGAAGCAACTAGAACTAACATTGGACTACAGGAGTTTATACCCCTACAGTCTCTATTTACCGGTGCTCTCCTCAATGGCATAAGAATAGTCACCTTTTACAAGAAAGAGTTGCAGCTCTCCAAGTCAACAATTTGTACAGCCTCCACTGGAGAGGAAAAATGAAATGGAAAAACAAAGGAAAGAAATAAAGAAACTTTGGAAACAACAAAATAAAATGCTCAAACAAACTGCTCTCAAGGCAAAATTGTTATGCATGCAATGTGAAGATGAAAATGAATATGCATGTTTCACGCAGAGGAGGAGCATCAGTGCTCAAGTGGTAGATTAGCAAAAAAATCCCAACAAGCAACTACCAAAAAAAAAGAGAAAAAATAAAAAGGAATGTTGGAAGAGGAAGTGCTTCAAAAAGTAGGAGCATCAAATGAACTCTACAAAGCTTGTGTAACACATATTGAAGAAAGACAAAATTATCTAGAAAATACCAAAAGAGTAATTTTTAAACATTTTTAAAATATTTATTGCTTATTTGTAGTTGGAAACAATACTTTTGTTTTATTTATTTTTATGTGGTGCTGAAGATCAAACTCAGAACCTTGCAAACGCTACTCAAGTGCTGTACTGCTGAGCCACAACCCCAGCCCCCCCCAAAAAGAGAAATTTTAACACAACTCAAGACGCTTGTTTTCCAGTATGATCTTACCCTTAAAGCTGTAACAGTTAACCTCCTCCAGATGCAGCACCTGCAGGCTGCCTCCCTTGCAAACAGTTTACAATCTGTAATAACACCAAACTTCATGATCCAGGCCAAGAGTACAGTGAACTTGTGAAGGCTAAAAATTCAACTGAAGAAGAAAAAGTTAATGGGAATGTAAATTAACCATTAGCAAATAGTTCCCAGATGTCTAGATGTGGCCCTGCTGATGCTTTAGAGAATGTTATGCACCTTCCTGACAGTTGTACTAAAATTGAAGAGGACAGATGCTCAAACAATGCAGACCTAACAAGTGCTTTTCACTCTGAAGAGAATACAGATTTAAGAAGAAGCAGATTGCTCATTTGATTATTAAATGAACTGGAGCTCTGGAATTAGAAAATCGTGCTTTATAAAGTAACTCTATGAGATGTAGTCACAATTATAACCCCCATGCCTGCCTTAAAATCCATTGGTCATTGTTAAGGGAATTTGAATCATTTTGTTTTATGTCAGTATTTTACCTTATGAAATCCACCTGTAACTAAGTTTTAACTTTTATTATTCTTAAAGATTCTTATTTCATGGGGCTGGGGATATAGCTCAGTTGGTAGAGTGCTTGTCTTGCATGCACAAGGCCATGAGTTCAGAGTCTATAAGTCCAGGTACAAATAAGTTTAGTGGTGAAAAATCAATGAAAATATTAAAACTATAATTCAGGGAGTATTTATAACTGCCTTATTTTTATAATGAACTGTCTCAGGTATAGAAATGAGAATGTACACATATATGTACAGTTTAAAGAAAAAGAATGAAACAAAGCCTCAATAAAAAATATTAGTACATTAGAAGCCCCCTGGATACTCCTTCTTGATAACACTGCCTTAGCTCCCACCAGAATAAACCATTATACTCTTTTAAATTATGCTATAGATATTTTAAATGTTTTCAGTACCTATATGTAGTGGAGTTTTGCCCTCTTCTGGAAGTTCTTCATATTCTATCATACTAATTATGACTTAATCCATGCATGTTGTGTTAATGTGAGTAGTTGCCTTTATTTTTACTACTATATTCTAGTCTATGAACTTGAATATCATGATCTATCTTTTGCATTATTTTGCAATAATTGCTATAATAAACAATTCAATTATACCAAAAAATATCAAAGATATGTATTACATCAGGGAAGATGAACTATTTTTATCTCTGGAGCAGAGCAGGAAACAGGCAGCTACTTTTGTCTTTCAAATTGAGCTACTAAAAAACAAATCCTCTGCTCCTTTCCATAGATACTGAGAAGTCATGTGACAATATTCAATCATTCCTGATGAAAACACCCAATAGAATAGTAATTAATAAAAATCTTCATTTGTAAATATGAGGTACATATATGTAGAATGAGGGGCAAAAGACATTGAATAAGTTCATGCTAATATTAGAAAGGCAGTGAGGATGTCAAATATTGTCAGTAAAATACTGCACACTTTAGAGGTATGCAATAAATAATAAATAGAAGCATGAGAATCAAAAATGAAGAGGCCAAATTGTCTCTATTGCAAGAGATACAATAGTTTCATTGTATCTGGAAATCTTAACATTTTATCAATAAAAGCATAACCATATGATTAAAAACTCAAATTATATATTTATTTAGTAAGGTTAATTAATATACAAACTCAATAGCCTTCATATATATAGTCATGATTGGCAGAAGATAAAATTGATAAGATCCTATTTTCATAGCCAAAAAAAAACTGTAAACTACTTAGTACACTTGACAGGACTGTGTAGAAGCTATTTGAGGGAAATAGTCAAATTTTGCAGAAAAACACAAAAAAAAATAGTTTTGAATAAATTCAAATACATATTGTATTGTTGGAAAGGTAGCTTAAATATCATGAAGATGCTAATTGTCTCCCAAGCTAAAATGTAATAGTATGATTCAAATAAAAATACCAACAGCATTTTATTTCATTTAAATTGATTCCAAAGTAAACATGAAAATAATGAACAAGTAAAGTTAACCCTGAAGAAGAGTGGAAGAAGGTAGGTAGAATTCCTAAATGAAAAAAAAAACAAAACAAAACTTTTACGATGAATAGGCACACTGTAACTAGAACTACACGGAAAGTTTAAAAATAAACCCAAATATGATAATTTAGCATATGGTAAAGAGGAGACAACAAATCACTAATTATTTTTAAGTGTTTCTGAAAAACAATAACTATTTGGAAAATGATATAACCAGATTTATAGCTTATACGATCCTCTAGAATATGCTACAAATACATCATGGTTCCAATTTTAAATATTAATACTACTTAGCACTAGAAGAAAGCAAGCATTTATCACCTCAGACTGGGGAAAACTTTCTAACACAAATCTAGATGTATTACATATGGAGGAATTTCATTAAACTGATAATTTCAAAAATTTTTATGGTAAATAAACACTGTAAATGAATTTAAAAGACAAACACCAAAGTGGGAAAAAGTGCATCTCATCAAAACGATATAATTCCCTGTTACATAAGGAATTCCTGGAAAACAAGAACTAAAGCACAACAATATAAAATTTTTAAAATGAGAAAAAAATTCTTAGAAAAAAATGAGTAAACTTGTTTAAGAGTGTTTAAATATGCAAGATGGTTAAATCAATCATAGCCAGGAAAATGATTTTAAAAAAACACTGAGGTACCATGCCTCACTTGTTAGAATTATTAAGATCCATAAGTCATATAGAAACTTCTGTTGGTAAAACTGGAGAAAAAGGCATTTCCATACTAACCATTGCTGTTGAGACTGGTACAATCTCTATAGAGCACAATTTGAAAATATCTAAACTTTTTTAAAAATATGTACTAACACTTTAATACAGAAATATAACTTCTAGGAATCTAACCCAAAACACACTTAGACACATACCGAACAAATAATCACAAAGTTAGTCATGTGACATGGTTTAAAATAGGAAAAGACTGAAATTACTCATATAAAATACTAGTCAGCTATAATAAAGAGGAAGAAGAAGAAGGAGAAGGTGCAGGTAAGGGGGGAGGAAGCTCTGTAATATGTGGCAAAACTCAAGATACATAAAGTAAGAAAAGGTGAAATTGCAAAACAGAATTTGAAAATAGTTTCTTTTGATTAAGAAAAGAGGAAAAGAAACACTATGTATATATTTGTTTTTATTTGAAAAACACATCAGAAGAATAAATCTGAAACTAATAAAAAATCTGAGGTTAGGAGAGAGGATAGACAGAGTAAACAGAGAAGCAAAATTA